GATAAGGCTCTGCCATATTTCTATGATCTTCCTTACGGACAGCTGATTGGCAGTCAATTTTCTATAGCCCTCCTCCCCTTTTGTACTCTGTTAGACATGACTGATCCTCCCCTCGACTCCCTTCCCACCCCTCCCCAGGCGATTCATTATGACAAGTTCTTAAGACATTCCTTTTCATTTTATGCAGACAATACTTCACGTCCATGAGTTGTGGAATGGCGGGAAACCCATGGATGCCATGAAAGCATGTATCGAGTTAACTGGAATGGTGGACTTTGAGAAGAGTCTGGGCACCACACCAAAGCTGAGTGCTCCTTGTACACTCATGTCACGTGATCATGCATTGTTTCTAAATATTCTTCAACAGCTACCGAGCAGTTGGTGGGGAAAATAAATTTTCTTTGATTTTAAAGAGAAAGTGTCGCCCTATTAACGTGACAATGTCTACGAGAGCTTGGAATCTCCCTCTACAACCCATAGCATTACCACAGAAGGTTCATGTCTAAGTACACATGAGGGTGACAAACATGGACAAAAACATTGCTAAGCGACTAAGGAAAAAAATATCGGCGAAAAAGTTAGTCGTACATATGTCGCTACAAGACTTCGTATAGCGACGGCTGATTGACGCACGACGAACTAAGCTTGGAGAAATCGAGGGACTTCTGTTCTGGGAACGAAAATGTCCTATTTTCATATTTACTGATTTATCGATACTTTTTTAACTCTTCTTGTGCATGCGCGGTCGCAAAGCTTCCTGTCTACAGTTGTGGGGTCAGATATATTTGCCCAGTTACCCTCATACTTTCTCTGACCTTATATTATCAAGTAATCTGGTTCTATATTTCCTTCGGATGCTCGCATTCTGAGTATTTGCAAGTGTAAGAACACTAATTTTATAATAATTTTTATACTCGCTGTCATCATCTCAGATATTTTTTATAAGTACTCTGTGTAACCATCAACAGAATGTGCCGTAGCATTACTGTCTTTTAGATAACCTAGTTTATTTTTATAATTATCGTCATTCTTATCATTGTATTTTCGTGATTGTTTTTCTTTTTTTTACTTTCTGCACAGCTCGATGTGGAATCTCGAACTCTGTGAGCTCGTCCTTCCAAAGCTAAAAGGATTTATTTCCACTCAGCATCATTCAAGGTAGAATACATGTTTTTTATCTTATTTCGGTTGTTATTTTGTTTTCTTGCACGTTTTCTTTTGATACACATAATTTTTGTTTTCATCTGCGGGAAACGTTTTCAGGCAAATTTTTGTCATTCTTCGATAGAGTTTAATCGTCATTTCCCAAGAATTAGTTACGACCTCTGCCGCCAATAGATTGCGCCAAGGAAATGAAGAAAAGGCGCAAATAATAGGTCTAAATGGTTCTGCAGGAACACTTTTGGCGTCGTAAAGTTCGCGACCCTACTTCTAGCCATTTTGTTGATATTTTTTCCCGCCTTCTCAGCCACGTGGAAATGGCCTGCAGTATTGTTCATGTTGTATTGAAGAAAGTCGCAGTGGTGGTTCGACGGACATCAAAGGGTGAGAGTAATAACTCAAGGAAAACAGAATAAAATAATAACTTTCGTGCAACACAAAAAAGCGTGAACCAAATTTCGAGATTTAATAAGAAATTCTTGCTCACTAAACAGCCATTGTTTGCTATTGGAAGGTAAAGAAGAGAGGTTTAGTAACACTTTTGGCGACTTAAGAAGAAAAAATATATCTGGCGTCCGCCGACATCAATAAGTAAACTAAAATTCCCTTGCGACAGCATTTTAAACTAAATGGTGTCGACCAAAAATTCTTTGGAAACGCTGGGTAAGGAACTCAAAACCTCTGTACTTCTAAGAGCTTTGAAGCTATTAATTCTTTAATGCATTTTGACGCTGTGACCCAACAGTTAGCGGGACGGTCTTTCGACCCGATAGTCCGAATGTATTAATGGATAAAGCGCGCTACTCTTACAAAGCCTCTCTTCATTGGGAGTAAAACTGCGTAGTGGCAGAATGCAAGAAACTCATGACAAAATGCTAAGGGAAGTAACCTGTGTAATGGACTGGCCATCTGATCCAGAGGGAGTTATAGTTATACTTTCAGTAGCCTTGTGCCACGGAGATCAGAGATCAGAGATAAACTCTATAAATGCGTGCCACTGTGATTATTTTTTAATCACTTTTCTTCTCATTGCCCTACATCCTCAGGAACTAAAGACAAAGAAAAGGAACAGAAGATCAAAGTCTGCACCAACGAGTTGAAAGATATCAAAGATATGACGAGTGACGTCATTCACGCAGTGAAAGCCGGGAAGAAAAATAACACAGAAGATCCTGTGTCTATGAAACTGGTACTGAAGGAACTTCAGTTAGCACTGGGAACATTTTTAAGCAGTGCAAGCGCAAGTTAAACTTTTGTTTACACCAGTTGTCTAAAAGAATATTTTTGATGGTGTAAAAAATGCCGATTAAAGTGGTTCTGTTCAGTAGAATTTGCCAGTTAAAACTGATTTGTTAGGTCTGCGCTCAGCTTTGCAGTATATGAGACTACTTCTGGTACCTGAAATGTTCAATTGTGTTGTCGTGTTTACTGAAATAACATTAAAGATTGTAGTGTTTTGTGTCAAGATTCAGTGTAGGGTCTAAATGCACGCTGAGGAACTTGAATTTAACAAATGGTAAACACCACAGCGTACACTATTGAGTTATGGATGCACGCGGGAGGTTGCTAAGCACGAAAGAAGCGTAAGAGTCGCTCGAGGCGATAGCCGAGAGCGACTGTAGCTTTTTGAGTGCTTAGCAAACCTCCCAAGTGCATCCATAACTCAATAGTGTACGCTGTGGTGTTTACCATTTGTTTTATAACATAACATTGATACATTGTAGCTAAAGAGTTCCCTTTTATTTAACAAATCTTACGTGACCAGAAAAAACAAGCGCGCGCGGAAAAATAGTCTTTGCATTTGCTCACGTCAATAGCGTACACCCATGGGCAAATGGGGGGCGCTAACTTGACCAATCAGAGCGCGCGCTTTACTTTGGTTATGTTACAATGTAACTTGTTGTCGTGCGGATACAAGATGCATATGCAAATAGGTTTCGTTCTTTGAAAACATATCCGTTTAGTCTTCCTACTGTTCTAAACAGCATTACTTCAGTTTTATCCTCTTTGAGAATGAAGATAAGTTCGTTATCTGGAAACAAACTAGCGAAACCATTAGCGTCCTCGCCAAGGTTGCGCTGAATAGCCATGATCCAAATCTTTCGAGGATGTGAGAATCACTTTCATCTGCGTAGGTTGTAGTCTTAGAGAAACGACCGTAAGTGACATGTGAACGTAGTTAAAGGGGTTTCAAAACAATGGCAGCTCGAGAATACTCCCTTAGAGAAAAAGCAAGGGGAGAACAGGATTAGGCTCAAACAATACTCCCTTGAATTCAACGAACTGCTTCTGGAGGAACAAATAGACATTTGCCATAGCAAGACAGTTTTCCTATCAAAACAAAATGACTGACAGTGTCAAACGCTTATGGAACGTCAATGAACACTTCTCCTAATGCTTTACTACCATCCGCTTCTTTCCGGACCAGGCGGTGTGCGCTCTCCAATTGCGTTGCATTGTGGTAGTGTTACTTTCAATAGGGCGGTGAAAGCGGCAAAAATCGGCAGATTTTAATAATAATAATAATAATAATAATAATAAAGTATTTATATAGCGCTAGTTTCCTCGAAGTTCAAAGCGCTTAACAAGAGTGACACACTTGTAAAATTAGAAAAAGGCTTTTTTAAAAAGAAAAGTTTTAAGCTTGTTTTTAAAAACGGACAATGAGGAGCTGTTCATGATATCGGACGGCAAAGTGTTCCAGAGTGTGGGGGTAGCTACAGTTAAAGATCTTGCACCGTATGTCTTCAAATTAAAATGAGGAATCACAAGGAGATTTTTAGATGATGAACGCAGTTGACGAGCTGGAACGTAAAGTGTGAGTAGATTACGAATGTACGATGGTGCAAGATTTGTGTGAAGAGCTTTGTACGTGATGAGTAGAACTTGAAACACAATGCGATAACGTATCGGAAGCCAGTGAAGATTTATTAGAATAGGCGTAATGCGTTCAGGTTTTCTTGAAAGAGAGATGAGACGAGCAGCGGCGTTCTGGACGCAACAACAATGTCAGAGAGCGGTGAAGTGTAGAGAAGGTACAAAATGGGTCCCAAAACAGAACCTTGTGGAACAGCACATTGAAGAGCACGTTCCACGGAAGTTCTGCCATCTACAGACACATGCTGCATGCGATCGGACAAATAAGACTGGAACCATAAAAATGGCTTGCCAGTAACTCCAAAGCATTCATGTAGACGAGAAAGAAGAATATCTTGATCAACCGTATCAAAGGCAGCAGAAAGATCTAAAAGTAATAGAATTGCTGTTCTACGATTAGCTCTGAGGATGTCATTGTGCAAGCGAATGAGAGCCATTTCTGTGCAATGATACTGCTTATAGGCTGACTGTAATGTCTCGTTCAACTCGTTTTTGTTAATATAGGTAATTAGTTGGTTAGCAACAGACTTTTCAACGTACTGCTTTGCTGATAAAGGCAAGATTTGAAACGGTGCGATAGGTTGAAAACTGTGTATGATCCAGAGAAGGCTTCTTAAGAAGACGGGGTAACTTGGCAACTTTTAAATGAGAAGGCATTGGGCTAGATTGCAGTGATGTATTAATAATCTTGGAGATAAATGGCAGCAATGTGTCTAGAGCGTTACTTGTGACAAAGGCAGGAAAAGGGTCCAGTTCACATGATTTGGAAGAAAGTTTCCCAACACATTCACGGACGTCATCGACGGTTACCATATTAAACTCATCAAACGTATAAGGACAGACCCAATTAACTTTTGGAACTGAGTGAATAGCAGCTGCAGCATCAAGGTCAACACGTATTTTAGTAATCTTCTCAGAAAAAAACTCGATAAACGTATTTGCGAGCTCCGACGGCGAGTTGGATGGCGGATAAGATGTATCACACTTTCTGTGTAGTAGATTATCAATAGTCTTAAAAAGAAAAGTTTATAGTCCGACTGATTATCGTTGATTAGTGAAGTGTAATAAGATTTCTTGGAAAAACAAAGTAAGTTGTTGACGGTGCGGCATTGATCTATAAACAATTGGCGATCGGCTGGAAGTTTAGTCCCTCGCCATCGCCGTTCCAATCTTCTACGATGTTTTTTCAAACTACTTATTTCCTCAGAATACCAAGCTGCTGGACGCGAATTATCTTTTGGCTCTGTAATTTCTATTTCTGAAAGGTCATTTTTAACGGCAATTCCGCGGTTTCGATCCTAATCTTGCAGATCTCGTCAGTTGTAGATTTGACGTGGCAGCGATGGGTTTTTTTGTCCTCCCCTCGGAATATGTAAAATTAGACGCATTCTCCTTGCGAACCTGATCAAAGTCACACAATAGTTGTTGTCTGATCTGTTTTTGTTTTGTAGCGGGTGTTGGAATGAATTTAAGCCCTTTTGCCAGTAAATTAATCTGGTCGTTTGTAAGTTCTTTATTTGAGAGGTTTTTTATGTGCNAATTTGATGGCCTGCTCCCAGTTGGCTTGTTAGCTCAATTGGTAGAGCGCTGCACTAGTATCGCAGAGGTCAGTGGTTCGAATCCCGTACAGGCCTGAAATTTTTTTCAGGTCTGATTTTCACTATTGCTCAAATAGTGCTTTACTGCGAAGGATCGTTCTCATATACGTCTCATAACCGCAGTTCACACATATGTTTCATATGTTTGTTGTTGTTTGATTTATCATCTACGGGTTTATATCGAATTAATTTGATGGCCTGCTCCCAGTTGGCTTGTTAGCTCAATTGGTAGAGCGCTGCACTAGTATCGCAGAGGTCAGTGGTTCGAATCCCGTACAGGCCTGAAATTTTTTTCAGGTCTGATTTTCACTATTGCTCAAATAGTGCTTTACTGCGAAGGATCGTTCTCATATACGTCTCATAACCGCAGTTCACACATATTTTTCATATGTTTGTTGTTGTTTGATTATGTTAATTGACCACCGTGATTTTCGAAACCAAATGAATACAGAAAGTTAACGATAATTCAGTTTAGCGATTAGATCGAAAGCCAAACCGGTGATATTCGGAAATAACAAGCGAATACACCAAGGAATGTTCTTGTAAATCCAGGCAAATCTTTTAATAGTTTTTACATTTACACCAAATTGCCATATAGGGAAACAAAACTTGCAAAATCTGTTGATTATATGCATCAATCTAGACCTCGTGCGCCTGATCAGCGAAGCACGACATCGACCTTTATAGCTAGTTTCATTTTCCCTCTCAGAGGCTAGAGAGATTGATCGGCGCATAGCTGATTGAGTGATAGCTTGCAGTCGACCAAATTTAATACGAGCTTTACCTGAATTGAAGAAGGACAAGGAAGCGAAAACAAAGGTAAGATATTTCTTCGGCAAAACCGCACATTATTCACAATAGTTTTCCCTTGAAGACGCCTTAAACGGGTTGATAAGGGAAGCAATTGACTAATAAGAGAAGCAATTGACTGACCTATGTCCGCTGCATTTATGGCAAGATACCTAACTTTATTCATTGAAGGGAGCATCTTAGCCGTGATGGGGTATTGATACTTATTAAAGCTCAGTTTAGTGCTGAGAAAAGACATCACAGTGCACTAAATTGTGACAACCTTGATGTAGAGTAATCGCGTAACTATCTAGGCAAATAGACAAAATACCCGGCAGTCAGAAATTTTCAGAGGATATCCACTGGAAAGTTTCTTCAAACCTTTAAGGATATCAGATGTTTGTTTAGTAATGTCACGCGATTCCAATAATTAATCTGTTTTTTCAATGGACAAATTATTCGAGCTTGTACGCTCTATAATGCCGCCTTGTTGTCGACGCTCGGAATTATTTTACGCTTCTGATCCGACTGCTGGGTGGGGTCTCGATCAGACTTGATGCCCAGCAGTTATAAAGATGCACCAAAATACCGCTGAAAGGTTCCTTTAAACATCCTAAGAGAATTAGATATATGTTAGAAATATCAAGCGATTCCAAAACTTGGTTTTTCTAGTGGACAAATTCTCTGGTCTTGTGCATCCATAATGCCGCTCTGTTATCGACGCTTAAAAACTCTACGCTTCGGATCAGTCTCAAATTGCCTTAATGCCCAGCAGCTAGAAATTTTAACCCAAAATGCCACTGAATGCTTCATAAAAACCTATTTAGTATACTCGATGTTTGTTCCTAAATGCCAAGCTATTCTTTAATTGCGGTGGTTTTTCTATTGTCAAGTTAGCGTGCACGAACCATACCGCGTAAACATGTACTATTAAGCCTGGGAGGTCACGTTGCCAACGTAACGGTCACGTAGGACCACTGTGGCGTGACAGTACCGTGGGTCACCAAGTCAGAACAAAGGAGTCTCATAAGTCAGAACAAAGGAGTCACTTAAGTCAAAACAAAGGAGAACAGCTTCAAGTTCAGTAAACATGTCAGAGGCCTTCACTAGAAAAACAATCATTTTTATCTTGTGACTTCTGAACATTTACAACATCTTTTGTTTGCTTGCAGGTTTGGCAACATTGATTTGTAGGAGGCTACCAGCTGAAATAGCGTCGTCTTGCAGTCGATATTCTAAAGCAACGAGCCAACCTCTGTTGACAGAAATGGCCAGTGATGGAAATAAAATGAAAGGTAAAATAGTTTCTTCGTCAGTAACATAAACTTCACCATTAAGTTAGCTCGTAAATCGGTGTACACATAATCGAATGCGTCGAAACTACATGAGGCGTTTGACCCACATTTATTGCCAGATCTTTAGCTCTTTTCTGTAACTGCACAGAGCTTGCCTGGTGTAGGAATTAGACGAA